GGGAGTTGGGGGGGGGGCCAGGAAGAAGGTGGGGAAAGTGGGAGCAGGGTCGGGATCGGGGAGTAGGGAGGGGGAATAGGATCGCATCGGGGGGGGAACGAGCGGAGGGATCTGACAGGGGAGGGAGATTGGGGTCGGGGGATGGGGGGTAGTGCGCAGCTAGGGGGAGTGTCAGGGGAAGGGGATCCCGTTTGGTGTCGGGGTAAGGGCGCGGAATGAGGATCGGGGGAGTTGGGATTGGGGAATCGTGCGTGAAATGCGTGGGGAACCGTCCAGGAATCAGGGTCGGGAAGGGCGAAGGGATCGCGGGGGATCCTGTAGTTGCAGGAGGGCGGGAAATGGGACTGGGTAGGTAGCGGGGGAAGGGAGAATCGGGGGGGGGAAGGAGAAGAGGAGGAAAGAAGAAGAAGAGGAAGGAGGAGGAACGACGACGACGACGAGGAAGAAGAAGAAGAAGAAGAACTGTGGAAAAGAAAGAAAATAAAAAATTTGCTGGTAACTTACCTTCACGTCGGCGATGGCAGCGACAGTGGTGACGATGACGTGGCAGCGGGTATGAGGGAATGCTGACGATGACATGGCGGTGACGACGGCGACGAAGATGGCGATGTCCTAGCGACGACGACGATGGTAACGAGGTCATGACGACAACGATGATGTCGATGACGTGGAAAACGACGGCGACAATGATGACGTGGCAGCGACGGCGACGACACTTAATCAGGGCGGGAGGGAGGGCGGAAGCCGCTTCGATACCAGTGTGACAAGGCTGAGGCAGAGCAGCGAGGTCGGGAAAGAGAGAGGGAGGGAGGGAGAGCACACACACACACACTCACTCAACTTGACATGGACTCGACATGGCTCGACGGACGCAGACACAAAGTGGCAAAGTCGCAATCTTGATCCTGAACACAATGTCGCAGCAAGTCACACTGAAGCACAAGCACTGAGAACGAGAACTGAATCCCCCGAACTGAGCTCGAGTCCGGTCTTAAGTACTGGACTCAAGTTGAGTCCGAGGGCAGAAGTGCAATTTGCGTCGGGGCTGAATTGTTATGACCCTGGCCAATTTCGAGATACACATCCACCGGAAAGTACAATGCCATCCAATTGCAGAAAGAAATGAATGAACTTGAGAGGAGAGAGAGAGGATTAGAAGAAGAAGAAGAAGATGTACACCAGCAAAGACAATGACAAGGCTCTTCTTCTTCGCCCAACAATCTCCTCCTCCTTATCTCCCCCTTCTTTTATTCATACAAGAAATAATAATACAATGTTGAATGACTGATCCAGAATCAATGTCCGAGTCCCTCTTCTACTGCAGGTATCACTTGAGGTCCACCATAGCCATGGCCGCCTCCCCCACTCTTCACTCTCATAGGCCGAGGCTATGGCGGATTACTAGGCCTTGCCCAACTGCGCAAAGGACAACCCAAAGCAGCCATGGCTGCTCTAGCTCAGGCCGCCATGCCCAACCCTGCCTTGAAGCTTCTTGGTGAGGCTCTCCCCAGTTGGGGACTCCCTGCTGCAGCGCCCACCAAGGTGATGAATATGGCTGCCACCATAGCCAGGTAAGTACCCCTGCTGCTCCTCCCCCTTCCTTCCTTCTTCCTCCCTCGTGTCCTTCTCCTTCCTCCCCAGCAGCGCTGCTCCAGCATAGCGCTGCTCCAGCCAACGCTCCACCTGTGTGTCGCCAAACTTGCACACCGAAAAAGAGGCTGGACTCTTCGCCCGACCAGAAGATATAGCGGCCTGCTTTGCCTCTTGGGCGTCGACTTCCAGGCCGCGCGGCCTCCCAAGCAACCGGTACCTCCTCCCTTTCGGAGGGAAAAATCATTGCCTACTCTGATATTGCCCGTACAGGCCCTAGACCCAGACTGGTTGGACTGATATCCGCCTAGACCTAACCTACAACTACTGGGCCTCTAAAAATGCCACTTTTGTCTTCTTCTGCTCGGCCTCCGGTACTTGCACATCTACCCCTTCCAGGTGCGGTACCGGCCTACCCGCTACTTGAGTGTTTTTCCCCGCTGCAACCCCTCAATGTCACGGCCACAGGTAAGTACCGGCCCTGAGGGCCCAACGAACGAGCAAGTACCCTGACGGGCCACACACATACTCATGCCAACCAGCACTCAGATAGGCACGGTCACACACACACCCAAGCCAACCAACACTCAGACAGGCATGGTCACACACACACTCAAGCCATCCAGCACTCAGACAGACATGCAGTCCAGCAAGCGTGCACACACAGACTTAGTAGCATGCGGGAAACTCAGCAGGGCATTAAGTCTATGGGCAAAACTCATAAATCAGTTGTGTGTTTCAGTCCATGTATGGACGGGTCATCACAGAACTGAAAATCGAAGGTCTGAGCCTGGGCGCCAGAATGCCGGATGGCGCCAAGTATCGAAATCCGAAAGTACCAGAGGAGGTATTTGAGAATGGGCGCTAACAGTCAGGAACCAGAGATCAGGGACTCAAAAAAAAAAAAAATAGCAGCCTGGCGGGTGGTAACCCACGGACCAGGGATTGAGCCCTGGCTGAGTCCGTAACAGATGATGTCAGATCTCCAAAAAATAGTCCTCCCAACGTCCTAGTCTGGATAGTCCCAGTCCTCATGTCACCAATAGTTCACCACCGATCTCAGTCCAAATAGTAACCAAGAATGTAGAAGGTGAGGAGGAGATGAAGATGAAGAGGAAGAGGAAGAAGAAGAACCGAGAGGGGCAGAGGAGAAGGTGGAGATGGAGAGGTGGGGAGGAGGAGAGTCCTCGCTCCCTGATCCAGTGTCCAGGCGCCAACCTGCTGGCGCAAGGTGCCGCGTTGGAGCTGCTGAAGACTCGCCCTTCACGCTGGAGCTATGGCGCTCACAGGTAGGTAGCAGGTAAGTTTCTACTCTCTCTCTCTGGCCTCTGCATCTAGCGTCACACCTAGCGCTACTGCCTGGAGCAGCGCTAAACCCAAAATAGCGCAGCGCTGATGCTCCTCCGCGGCCTCAAGTGTCCTGAACAGACCACTGGCCGGTACTACGTACCGGCGGTGGCCTGTTCGGCCTGGCTGCCGGTGAAGCCGCGCCATGATCTGAACCGTCAAGTCAATCTTCAGTTCAGATCGGACCTGGGGGGGCGAAGTGGCAGTCTCAATCTTCGGCCGCCAGGCTCAAACGAAAACGTTTGGGCCGGTTTCCCGCTTAGGGCCTGCAGCTGCAGACCCGGGTCTGAGCCGGTTTGCTGGACGGCTGCCGTCGGCCTTTCCAAAGTTCCGGCCTTTAACTCAGGCCGGACTGGCCCAGCGTGGCCATGGTCTGGGATAACCCCTAGAGCTAGCCGTCGGGCCTAACAGGGCCTGTGTGGAATCCAGGATGTAACATTGGGCCTGGGACCGGAGGTAGGCCAGACCACCGACGAAACAGTATAAATAAAGAGGCAGCGCCAAGCCTTTCATTCATTCGCCTGTGAGCCACGCGGAAGCGCTGCTTATGCGACTTGTGCGTTGGAGGTCTGCAGGTGCCCGAAGAGGAAGATGGCGAGCGCCCATAGCCATTAGTGGAGTAGGAAGATGACGGTGGCCATAGCCGCCCAGTTGCTGACGACAACAGATGGTTTCTTGTGTGTGTGTGTGTGTGTGGGCATTTAGGGTAGATCCTATGTGTGTGTGCATGTGGGTGAGTTGCATGCGAGTTTCGGATGGTGGAGAAGTGTTCGAGGGGGAATTCAGGCTAAGCGGCCATAGCTGCCAGATGGGACAAGTTGACTCGAGCTGCGTTCCTGGCCAAAGGCCATATTTCTGAGTTTTCTGTGTGGGCGCAGTGCGCCATCATAAGCCTGTTGCTGATTCTGCATTAACGAAGTTGTTTTGCCATCGGCACCTACATGTATGCATTTTGCAGGTGAAAGTGAGACAAGTCTGATTGCAGAAGGCTAAGTATAAAGCTCTAGGCTAACTTAGGCAGGGGTGAGGGGCGGTACATCGTTCAATATCGGAAGTAAGCACATCGTTCAGTATCGGAAGTAATCAATGCCGCCTACCCTGGTCTCCCTACCATAAAGGGGAGAAACGCTGGAGTGTGTCTACAATGTATTCATGACTTGCCGGGGGAATAGGAACCAGACTCATGCTCCCCAGAATGGCAATGGAACCAGAGCCAGAGCCATAAGCGCGGCAATCATGGAAGGGGCACTGAGTCCGGACCATCCACGGACGAAAAGGAGGGAGATGAGCCGAAGGGGGGAGGGAGCTAGGGAGCATCAGCCACCATAGCCGGATGAACCCAGTCTCCAATGTCGCTGCTCGTACAGTGTCAAATCGCAATGTCACTGAACTGGGCGAAGCCCAAAAGTCACCAAGTCTCAATGTCAAAACTCTCTCTCTCTCTCTCTCTCTCTCTGTGTGTGTGTGTGTGTGTGTGTGTGTACACATGATACTGACCTGCGTAAAGGTGTCACCTTGATGCAGGTGCGGACGTACCGAAGATAAAGCTGGAGCGATGGCGCAACAGGTAAGTCCTCCTGGCCTCCGCCTCACGTCTCCCAAGTCCCCTGCTGCAGCGTGCTGCAGCTCAAGCTCGACTACCTCGCATAGCACCCAACGCTGGGAGACTACTCTCTACCAAGCTGCTGTGCCCAGCGCGTCGACTACTGAAGACTACAATACTACCTCAGAACTACCTACCTATAACTGAGGCGGACCAGCTATATATAGCACTGGTCCAGCCTCACAGCTGCCTCAAAACGAACTGGCAACTCAGAGTTGGCGCCCAAACGAAATGCTGGCGCCTAACAAAGTTGGCGCCAAAAAGGTTTGTGGGCCTGAATGGCCTGACTGGGGTACAGGCCTAACTGGGCCTCTAAACGAACAGCTATAAGCAGGCCTGGGAAATGCTCTGGGCCCTAAAACGGGCTGGTCTGAGAACAGACCCTAGACCCTACTAACCAGCCCCCAATCCTACCTGGTTGGGCCCTGCCGGGCCCATGTGGGACTGAGTATGCCAAACCAACCGACCGACTGACCAACCAACCGGCTAAGTGATTGATCGACTGACTGATCAATGGAGGGGTGGAGACAAGGATGCAGACACGGATGGAGACAGGGACGAAGACAGAGACATAAAATCAGACAGACAGACAGACAGACAGACAGACAGACAGACAGATGGATGGACCGACAGACAGGCGGACGCATGGACATAGACGACCGAACAGACGGACGTAGACATACGGAGACAGACTGACAGACAGACGGGGAGTGGGTTTATTGCGTTGCAAGCATGAAAAAATGCATAGGTGTGAGAAATGTTCCTGCAAAATGAGAGGTCAGTGCATATGCGTTTGGGTCCAAAAGAAACTTCTGGTGGAGTCATTTGTTCATTGTAAGTTCTGTTTGTCATGACCTGCAGATCTGCAGTTTAGGGGAAGCAGCAAAAGCTTTGAAGAATGTAAAAGGGCAGGAGCCACCTAGGGGGATGGCTGTTGGAGAGGACCCACCACACGACAGGAGGGATGATCTTTTGGGGAGTATGCAAGGGACTGGAAATGAAGCAATACTGGGTGTGACAAGATCCAGTGAAACAGAAGTTGAGGTCGTGAACGAGCTTATAGCAACAACAGAAGTGAATCGTCAAGTGAAAGTTGCAATTTCAATGGAAGGAGTAAATGTTGTCACTTTGCCTGGGTCGTCTTCCCTATCTCATCCTGCACCCTCAGCTGTTCCAGGACGTGGTGATCCAAAAGCACCTTGTCCACAGATATTGGCCTCTTGTCCAGTTGCTGCTTCCCATGTCACTGCCTCTTTCCGGACCTATAAGCGTTTCCGCCTTGACAACCGTTTCAGTACGGTATTGAAGATTCTTCCTCCGCTGCCACCACCTGCACGTCAGGTATGTTGAACAATCAAGTCACTCCATACACCCCAGGTTTTCGTTGCTTGTTTTGGTTTGATTGTTTGTTGGTTGCTTGGTCTGAAGTTCGGCAGTTGCCCCTCATCAGAGAGTTTAAACCACAATTGCCGCCACCATCAAAAACGTCTCTGGAAAACACAGTCTGGAATCGGTGCACAGTGCCTGGCCAGGGTAAGCGGCTGGTGGGGCATTGGAAATTGCCCCTGGTCAGAGGCTGGTGGGGCCCAATCCCTTGCACGCCAATTCCAGAGGTGTCGCACGTCGTCCTTCTTTGGGACACGATGTCTGTACTTTCTCACAGCTGTAGGAATGGAGAAACGTTTTTTGGCGCCATCACAGTTTCATCATTTCATGATATCAGGCCGCTATGTTGACAAGAGATAGTGGGTTGCAACAACAGAGTGTAGGGGAGAGAGAGGGAAACAGATCGTGACAAGCGGGATCAGCAGAAGTATCAGCAGAGTGATCTCTGCTAAATATCGTCAGGGGATCTCAAATCACTCAGCAGACTTGAACAGACTCAGCAGATTTGCCCAAAGTGAGGAGATTGGAGGGCTGCACAGCTGCTCAGACGAGCATGTTGCGAAGTCTGCCCAGACAAGTGCTCAACCCCCAGGACTTTACTTGCTCAGGGACAATGTTCAATTGATTTGGAGAGGCACTCAGCCTGTTCAAGTCGATACTTAGGCCAGTCTGAGCTCAAACTAAGCAACCTCGAGCAAGGGTTTGATGAGCTCGACAGATTAACTAGACTCCGGACTCAGCAAGATCAGCGGACTAAGCTGACTCAGTCCTCAGCAGACTAAACAGGCTGATCACATAAGAGACTTGGCAGGTCCACGTCAACCAAATCAGCCAATAACATGCATTTAAGACGTCCTAGATTGGTGATAGAGTACCAGTAATATTTATGTGGATTTGTGAACCCTGAAAAGCAATGTGAGCGTGCTAGCCTTCCCTATTGAGTGCTGTACGAGCATTGAGTAATTAGAGGCCACATTGGGTCAGCCACTGTGTCATAGACGGTGTGATTGGACCTGAGGACTGTCGGCCTGAATCGTATGACTGGCGGTGGGTGCTATCAACATGTGAATTATGGAAATTCCCTTACAGTTTTGCCCTGGTTTTCTCTGTGTCCCACCTTGTGTGAATAAATAGTAATAATAATATTTATAAATTAATTAAAAAAAAGGGTACTTCATTTCGGTGCTCGTCTCTTGCGAATTCGAGTTGGTGTGTGGCTGCTTTTTCAGTTTATTTTCGCATGACATAAATTTCAGTTTTGCCCCTGCGTATCGGGAATCTCGGAGGCATGATGTTACGGACTCAGCCAGGGCTCGATCCCTGGTCCGCAGGTTACCACCCGCCAGGCTGCTATTTCATTTTTGAGTCTCTGATCTCCGGTCCCTGACTGCTGGCGTCCTCTGCAGTTGGCCCCCGTTCTCAAATCCCTCCTCTGGCACTTACGGATTTCGATACTTGGCGCCATCTGCAATTCTGGCACCCAGGCTCAGACCTTCGATTTTGAGTTCAGCCCCGAGGCCAATTGCAGTTCTGCCCCAACTTGAGTCCGGTACTCAAGACCGGACTCGAGCTGAGTCCGGTACTTAAGACCGGACTCAGTTTTCGGCCTCAGTGCCTGTGCTTCAGTGTGACTCGCTGCCATTGTAATGACCCGCCATAACGCAGACTGAGAACACTGCTGATTTCTGAAGTTCTGCCGATGGAATGGATGCCTTGCTGGGATTCCCGCATTCTGCTGTGTTTCTAAGTCTGTATGTGTGCGTGCCTGTGGACTTGCATGCCTGTCTGAGTGCTTGTCGGCATGAGTGTGTGTGTGACCCGCAAGGGTACTTGCTTGTTTGGCAGGCCCGTAGGGCCGGTACTTACTTGTGGCCGTGGTATTGAGGGTTGCAGCAGGGAAAACACTCAAGTAGCTGAGCCAGGGGCCCGCGGTGCTTAGAGCAGCGGAAAAACACTCAAGTAGCAGGTAGGCCGGTACCGCACCCAGTAGCAGTAGATGTGCCGGGCATTCGAGGCTGAGCAGAAGAAGACAAAGTTGGCATTTTTACAGGCCCAGTAGCGGTAGGCCAGGTCTAGGCCGGTACCAGTCCATCCAGTCTGAGTCTAGAGCCTGTACGGGCAATATCAGAGTCTGCAATGATGTTTCCCTCCGAAAAGGGAGGAAGTACCGGTTGCTTGGGAGGCCGAGCGGCCTGGAAGTCACCGCCCAGGAGGCAAGCAGGCCGCTATATCAAGAGGCCGAGGCAAGAGCTCGGCCTCATTCTTCAGTGTGCAAGTTTGACGACACGCTGCTGGAGCGCTGGCTGGAGTGGCGCTGGGTACTACAGCGCTGCTAGGAGGCAGAAGTCGGGAGCTTCCACCTTGGCTATGGTGGAGCTCTACCGGTAGGAGGAGGAGGGAGAAGGGGACCAAGGAGGAGAGTGGCGGGGTACTTACCTGGCTATGGTAGACACCATCTTCATCACCTTGTTAGGCGCTGCATCTGGAAGGCCCCATTGGGGGTAGTGCCGCATCAAGGAAGCTCGGGACAGAGTCAGGCATGGCGGTTGAGTGGGCAGCGGCATAGCTGCATGGAGTTGACCTGGGGACAGAAGGGCAGTGGCATAGCTGCTTTGGGTTGTCCTTTGGACAGGAGGAGAGCCCTCAGTACTCCGCCATACCCTCGGCCTGTATGAAAAGGAAGAGGAAGGGTGGCCATGGCTATGGTGGACCTCATGTTGTGCCTGCAGTAGAAGTGGATTCTGGTTCAGCCATTCAACATTATTATTGTTACTTCTTGTTTGAATAAGAGGGGAGGAGATAAGGAGGAGGAGATTGGTTGGCGATGAAGAAGAGCCTTGTCATTGGTCTATGCTGGAGTACATCATCTTCTTCTTCTTTCTTACTTCTTCTTCTTCTTCTTTCCCTCTCTCTCCTCTCAAGTTCATTCATTTCTTTTTGCAATTGGATGGCATTGTACTTTCTGATGTTGTATACTTTGAAATTGGCCAGGATTGCAACTTTGCGACTTTGCCACTTTGTGTCTGCGTCCGTCGAGTCGTGTCGAGTCTGCATTGAGTTGAGTGAGCGTGCGTGTGTGCTCTCACTCTCCCTCTCTCTCCCAGTCGCGCTGCTCTGCGTCAACCCCGTCACACTGGTATCGGAGCAGCAAACGGCCCTCCCTCCCTCCTTGTTCCGCCGCAGCCACGTCATCGCCATCATCGGCATCTTCGTTGTTGTCTTCGCTGCCACATCAGCGCCTCGTACCTGCCGCCGTCGCACCACGTCAGCAACTCCTCGTCCTCGTCGTCGCTGCCACGTCATCGATCGCGAAGCCGACGCGCAAGTAAGTGACCGACAAATTTTTGTTTTTATTTTTATTTTTTTCCTGCTTTTCTCTTTTTTCCTCCTCTCTTCCCTCATTTCTTCTCTTCCCTCCTTTTTCCTCATTTCCGCCTCACATACTTGTCCTTCCTCCTCGTCGTCGCCGTCGCCGTCTTCTTCTTCCTCGTCTTCGTGGCCATTTTTTTCCGTCTTCCTTTTCTTCTTCTTAGACGATTCTCATTCTCCTCCCCCCCCCCCTCCCC